ACTCTGGAATGCATCACACCAAAACCCCATATGGATTTGGAAGAACTATTATCCCAAAGGGAAATGTACTCGATCTTTAAGTTGAAAACCCTTTCCCCTCAAGGACTTAATGAGTCACTTCATTTTAGCTGTTTCCTTTACGTTTCTAATTACTCTTTATAAACCTGTGGATGAACCTTCAGAATTACTCACAGTATGAATTTATAAATTCACACTGTGAGTAATTCTGAAGGGTCATCCACAGGTTTATAAAGAGTAGTTAGAAACTTAAAGGAAACAGCTAAAATTAAGTGACTCGTTAAGTCCTTGAGGGGAAAGGGTTTTCAACTTAAAGATCCAGAACATTTCCCTTTGGGATAGTAGTTCTTCCAAATCCATATGGGGTTTTGGTGTGATGCATTCCAGAGCACAAAATTGGCATGATGTGAGTATATGTTATATGTTTGTTGTATCCATTATCTTTACTACTGTAATTGTGCTGGAAAATACTTGTTACTCTATGTGATGTTATGTTTTGTTATAGATAAGAGTCTAGAGTTGCTGAATTTATCAACTCCTGAGGAAGGGGACTGCTTTCCCCGAAACAGGGTACAAAAATACCCAGGCACCCCTGTTGAATGCCATTGGGACTTTTCCTTTGAAGACTTATTTTGAGAAGCAGTGCTCCATTTTCACTGGACTTTAGTTGGATCTTTTCCATGAAGATTTTTGAGAGTGGTGCTCCATCTTCATTATTGACTTCAGTATACATATAGCCTCATGACTCTATGCTTACTTTGTGTATGATTTATCTCATTGTATGTATCCCTGAAGCCTATATACAGTGGTACCCTTGTTCAGACCTGGAACTGTTACATTTGAGAGCGGTTGCTCCTTTTGATTTTGTTTTGGGCCACTGAATTGAGCTATATACTCGGGATTTTGTTAAATAGCATACTATATGCTCTTTTGACATTATATTTAGACATTATACATAGACTGTTTTGTGTTTGTGCTGATACCCTACAAGTACTCTGGGATATTGTATAGCTAATTTAACATTTGAACCTATTTTAACTTTACGTGCCAGACTAGAGAAAGAGCTAAATAGAAATAATTATCATTACTATCATTACCATACTCATCCTTCACATTACCTCTGCTATACAGATGGCTAGGCTGATGTTATCACAATGGCATCTTTTGTATTTCAAATCAGCAAAATTATCAGAGGTTGTCTATCATATACACAGAAAAACAAGATCCCCATGCGGGGTGTGTCTTTTTCAGCAGTGAATCGCAAATTCTGGTCCCCCAGATGTTTGCAACTTGAACTTAACAAATCCTTAAGCAATAGCTGACACTTCTGGGAGACAAAGTCCCATTTGAGAGCCATTGTTTTATACCAGATATTTATACCCAATGTTAGTTTATTAAAGTCTCATACACACAATCATGGCACTCCAGAAATTGAAGCTTGTGAGAAATATTTTGGTATGAAATGTAAACAGCATGAGGAAATCTAGAAAAAAGAATGAAAGTTGAAAATTTATCTCCCACGAGACATTAGAGGAGAGGAAGAACTCCAAGTGCCTTTGGTGCTAAAATGATAAGGGTGAGGATTGGGCTTCCTATTTCCGTGGTTCTCTGTAAAGATGGGTTTATTCTCCTTTGGGATTCTAAGATAACAGTGAAGGATTTGCACAGTTAAAAATAGTATGTTAGCTTTGTCCATTCCTAGAGATATTGAATCTGGCACAGTTTGCACCTTTTTTTGGATTGATGTGGGTTACAGGGAACACACAGTTCCCTGATCGAAACAGTTTCATTGTATACACATGCATTTCCAGGCTCAGCTTTCAGAATGATTATAAAATCTTGTGTGGTTTAGGTCCAGATTATTTAGCCGTTTTGAGTCTCCTGCAGGAGAGATAAAGCAGAGGATAGATATAATAATAATAATAATAATAATAATAATAATAATAATAATAATAATAATAGCTTATATCCCTTTATATGAACATATCTGAATTTTGCAGTCTTTGGATGTGGGCTTTCTTTCATTCCCACTACCCTCATAGACTCATTTGATGTGGACATGGGAGAACGCCTTTTTTGGTAGTGCCTTTTTGGTAGTGATTCCTAGGCTACATAATTCCATTCCATAGTTCCATGCCCTTTCTGCTTTCTTTTCACTAGCAGGAAAAAAACAATAAAGTCTGAAAAATAAAATAGCTTTAAAGTATCAATTGGTTCTCTTTATTTCATTTTAATTGGAAGCGATGATGTGTGGATACGCAATGGATTACAGGGAAGAAACAATTAATTAAGAAATAATTACTACAGCTTACAAAGCAGGTATTCCTCAGAGCAGGTTTCAGCACTAGAACTGTGTATTGCACTGTCTGTCTGTCAGTCCACCAGCAACCATGGAGTCCCTACTGCTTACAAGACAATTCCAGCTGTTCGTTGTGTAGCGTGCTGTCCGAACTAATCAAGTAAGTATAATTATATTTAAAAGCACTAGGCTAATTACAATTAATCAGAAAAATAATTTGTTTGTGTGTGTTCTGTTAGTGTTCATTTAGTTTAAATTGTTTTAGAAATATTTAGATGAATTTAATCTCATAGTACATAGATATTGAATAATCTATCTATATTTAAAAGGGACATGATTCTAGGCTAAATTGCATCTCTTGATCAGACAACACTCCCCATCCCCAATCCTGACATCAGAAGGCAGCAGCAGCTGTGAGTGACTGGAAACTGTTTTCTTGTCAATCAAGGTGTAACAAACTGGCCTTTCCAACCCCTTCCCCTTAAACAAGTTCTCATCTAGGATAAGAGTCAGAAGCAGAATCCCTTTCACAATTCCTTCTGGCATGGAGGATCGTTATGAGGAAAGGGTTGGAAATATCAGTCTGCTGTGCCTGGAAGATAGGAGAACAGACCCCCATTGATCACAACTGCTGCTGCCTAGTAAAGCAGGATCAAGGGACTTTGGTAATTTCTGTACATTCACTGCACAGTTGAATACATGGGGACTGTGAAGGAGAATTAGTTGTGGATGTGTAACTCTAGATCAGTGGTTCCCAACCTGTGGTCCACAAGAACTAAAATATGGTCTGCAGCCTCATTGTTACTCCACTGTTGCAACAAGAGCGACTGGCCTCTTGAAACCCTCTTAAAGTGGGTTTTCTGTAGGGGAGCAGATGACAACTACTGGATGCCATATGTTCTTTACCAGAAACTAGAGCTGTTGTGGGCTATCCAGTGCAATTTTCTGAATCAGCACCCCAATAGCCAAACCAAATCTAAAGTTGACCAAAACTGATTCATACTAATGTTGGAAAGTGGTCCCTGGTCAGAGTGGTCCCTGATCAAGTGGTCCTTGGTCAAGTGGTCCCTGGTCAAAAAATGGTTGGGAACCACTGCTCTAAATGACAAATTCAGGCCATTTTCTGTAACAAGAAAGGTTGCAATTTTTCTTAAGAATTCAATTAGTAATTTTAGCACTTCTCCTCCCACTGCAAGAAAATATTTAAAAATAGTAGCTTTTCAAGACTATTTGTAGTTTGAGACTTATTTTGCACAAAAATGTACAACCATTTCTTGCACCAAAAACTGTTTTTTGCACAGAAATTGCTATTTTTTGAACAGAAAATGTTATTTTTCACATAAAAGTACTGGTAAAGTTTTAACAGAATAGTACAAAATAGTAAACTTTCATCACACCAGGGTTTCCTGACATTCAAAACATTTCAAAGCATAATGGCAACATGTTACAATTACACAAAAAATACAGTTTTTAATGAGTTATCAAATTTTACTAACCATTTTGAGCCAGAAACAAATCTAAAAAATAACTCCACAAATAGAAAATATCTCATTAGGCCTTGTGTTGCGAGATTGCCATCTTGCAAATGACTACAGCTAGGAGTTGTATGTGCTCTGGGAGACACATCTAGAAGTAATCCTTTGAAAGTATTGTCGAAGGCTTTCATGGCCGGAATCACTCAGTTCTTGTGGGTTTTTTCGGGCTATATGGCCATGTTCTAGAGGCATTTCTCCTGACGTTTCGCCTGCATCTATGGCAAGCTCCCTCAGAGGTGAGGTCTGCTGGAACTGGGAAAAAAGGGGGTTATATATCTGTGGAATGACCAGGGTGAGACAAAGGGCTTTTGTAAGTTGGGCTAGGTGTGAATCTTTCAACTGACCACCTTGATTAGCATACAATGGGCTGACTGTGCCTGGAGCAAACCCTTCTTGAAAGGTGATTAGATGTCCCTGCCTGTTTTTCTCTCTGCTGTTTTTGCTGTTGCAATTTTTGAATTTTTTAATACTGGTAGCCAGATCTTGTTCATCCAGTATTAAAAAATTCTAAAATTGCAACAGCAAAACAGCAGAGAGAAAAACAGGCAGGGACATCTAATCACCTTTCAAGAAGAGTTTGCTCCAGGCACAGTCAGCCCATTGTATGCTAAACAAGGTGGTCAGTTGAAAGATTCACACCTAGCCCAACTTACAAAAGCCTTTGTCTCACCCTGGTCATTCCACAGATATATAAACCCCTTTTTTCCCAGCTCCAGCAGACTTCACCTCTGAGGAAGCTTGCCATAGATGCAGGCGAAACGTCAGGAGAAATGCCTCTAGAACATGGCCATATAGCCCGAAAAAACCACAAGAACTGAGAGAATCCTTTGAAACTCTATGCCTTTCAAATGGTAAGGATTTCCTTCATGTGCAGTCTGTGGTTGCAAAGATATAGCAGTTTCAAATAGGATATATCATTTCAAAGCACCTTGTATTTTTAAATAGTCTATCCATTCATGAAAGGCTTTTTGTTTTTGTGGAAGATGCATCATTAAAACAATTTGGTTCATGAGCTGCAGAAAATGATTTGAAGGTGTGTTTTTAGAGCAGTTCGTTCCTGTGAAGCAATTTCACCAGTTTAATCTAGTTGCCCCTTTAAATAACTTCTGGCACCCCCTTCCAACTTCTGTTCTCTCTCCTCCACACAGAAGGTCCAGATGGATGCAAGCTGTTTCTACGATGTGTGACCATGACTCCATTTAAAAATTCCTTCTGCCAAGCATGAGAGGAAAAAACCAGTCAAGGCAGGTGGGGAGAAACGAACTGGAACACAGATTCTACAAAGGTAGGCACTCTATCAAGGTGGAGATGTGATTCCTGTGAGCAGTAGTCATCACCATTCTTCACTGCTCTTGCAGTATTATCCCTTTCTATCTGCATCCTCGATGAAACCAGGCTCCTCACACAGTCATTTTGCTACCTTGTTCCCTAACTTTAGTTTAGCTACAGAGCAGGCCAAAGGAAGGCATTGTGATGCCCCAAAAAGAATTCTGCTCCCACAAATGAAAATGTTCGTCAGCCCCCAAATTTCTAGCATTGCAGAAAGTGAGAGTTCAATTTCTCATTCCCGAGGTAAATTTATTTATTCCTTTTGTTTGGATGCCTGAACTCTATTTCTAAATGCCTGATTGGAAGTTTAAGTTACTGCGATGCAAGAAATTCAGAACCTAGAAAAACATTTCATTTAGGGGTCCAAAATTCTTATTAGAGGGAATACCCTCATTTTGCCATTATACCACTGTAAGGACTGACCCTGCTTATCAGCTAAGATCAGGCAAAATCTGGGGCTTTAGACTGTTGACAAACCATCATGTTATTGGAAGAAGATGTAAGGTAGAGGAACCTTTTAGGGCAGACGTTCTATAGATGCGTGGTATGCCCCTGGGTAGATGGGTAAAGTCTGCCCACAGAGATTAAGGACAAAATGGGACATTAGAAGGAGGAGGAGGAGGAGGAGGAGGAGGAGGAGGAGGAGGGGAAAAGAGGAGGAGGAAGGAAAGGGCAAGCTTCCTGTGTCCATATCCTGTGAAATTCTACTATATCCAATTTTCTTTTGTCTTCACATTGATTTAAATTTTATTTGAAGCCTTATAATATTTGTTAATCCTGCCTCCTTTTCTTTCCATTTCTAACCTGGCCCAACTAACTCCCAGCCTCTCTCTTCATTACTTGTTGAAAAGGACAAATGCCAAGAGCCAAACATATGCTTCAGGAATACCAAATCTGTCAGATTTAAAGCACCCCGCCCTTATATGCTGCCTGTTGGCTTCCTTGTTAAGTGCAAAGGCTCAGATGGGACCTGCTTCGGGAGAACGGAAACAACTCGAGGCTATGAGCACAAGTTGAGAGATACATTCTTTCAAGCTCTTGCCAAGTCTCCAATCCAGCTGGGCATTTCAGTCTTGTTGCAATACCAAGTTAAGACCACGCTCACTAAAAATTAATGAGGTGGATGAGGATGTGGCAGCAGGCACAAGAGATGTACAGAATCCAGAAGAGCCTTCAGGAGGAAATAAGCAATGAAATATCCATATGGCTGGAATCTTATGAAATTGAGGTTAGTGAATACAGGTTATAGAATATATATAAATATTAGGCCTGTGGGTTTTGGTTCGTTATTTCGTTATTTCGTAATTAATTCGTTATTTTTACCATATCCGACGCGATTTCAAAACACATTTTTAAACCCGGAAGGGTTTTTAAATATCGAAACAGCAACTCCCAAAGTATTTACGAGCTTTCGCCCGTTTTGTAAATGGGGCGGGCGGGGCCTCCGCGCCTCCGCGCGCCATCCAACCGGCCTCCGCGCGCCATCCAATCGGCTCCGGCTCCTGCGCCCTCCTCCTCCTCCTCCTCCTGGCACTTCCTGCAACACAGCTGAGCTGGGAGGAGGAGGAGGAGGAGGAGGGCGCAGGAGCCGGAGCCGCGCGCGCGCGCCATCCAATCGGCTCCGGCTTCTGCGCCCTCCTCCTCCTCCTCCTGGCACTTCCTGCAACACAGCTGGCTGGAGGAGGAGGAGGAGGAGGAGGGCGCAGGAGCCGGCCCGATCTGCGCCATCCAATCGGCTCCGGCTCCTGCGCCCTCCTCCTCCTCCTCCCAGCTGTGTTGCAGGAAGTGCCAGGAGGAGGAGGAGGAGGAGGAGGGCGCAGGAGCCGGAGCCGATTGGATGGCGCGCGGAGGCCGGTTGTAAGGGTGAGCGCTTCCTGCAACACAGCTGGGAGGAGGAGGAGGAGGAGGAGGGCGCAGGAGCCGGAGCCGGAGCGCAGGGAGACCAATACCATCTTGAAGGCTGCATCCAGGCTCTTGTGAGTTTTCTTTTCAGGGCTGTATGTTGACCATGTTCCAGAAGCATTCTCTCCTGACATTTTGCCCACATCTATGGCAGGCATCCTCAGAGGTCTGTTGGAAACTAGGCAAATGGAGTTTATATCTATGGAATGTCCAGGGTGGGAGAAATGAAAGCCATTCAATGCTAATCAAGGTGACCAACTGCAACATTCACACTTACAAAATGTTTTGTAAATATTTACGAAATTTCGTAAATAACAAAACATTTTTTTGGAAAGTTTTGTAAATATTTTAAATATCGAAACAAAAAAACACCCCAATTACAAATCGATTTTAGAAACAAATTTTTTCTTGATCAAACAGGCCTAATAAATATATATAAATACAGGTTAGTGAATTTGATTTGTTCCCAGACATTACATTTTGAATAGCAAAGTTGATACCAAAGGCAGATATAAAATTAGAACAATTGGGGTAAGATCCTACAAAAAAGGAAAGAGAAGTTCAACATGTTTCAGAAACATTTTATTCAAAACTAATAATGTGCACTTATGAAATGAAATACCCACAAGAAGTAAGCTTTATATATGGAGGAGACGAGTCAGGTAGACTAATTTCTTTTCTCACCTTCTTTCTGTTTTGTTGTTTGCATAAGCTCAGTAGGGGATTCTGGAGGTAACTGCTGTTTTCCATGACTGTTCTAAGCAGGCAAACATAGTTGCATTCGGACTGGTTAGAGTAGGACCACAGTCTTGCACAGTTTAATCTTCGTTACTTCATTTACTGCAGGGACACTGCTGCAATCTAATATCAACGATCTATTTTTCTCCAGACTTCATTCACTATCCTTGTTCTCTGCTGCTCTATAAACTGGGACAACTGATTTAAAATACAAGAAAAGAAATTCCAACTCAACATTAGGAAGAATTTCCTGACACTAAGGTCTGGTGAGCAGTGGAATTGATTGCCTTGGAGGATAATAGATTCTCCTTCTTTGCAGGTCTTTAAACACAAGTTGGATGGGCATCTCCCTGAATCCTTTAGATGTGTGCATGGCAGAGCATTGGACTAAATGGTCTTTGAAGTCCCTTCTAACTCTCAAACCCATCTTTTAGGTATCAGCCAAGCGAACATTGCAGAAAACACACAGAGGTGAATTTTTTGAGAAATACCTCCTGAATGCCAGCACAGCACTGGGGACATTGAGATCCAACATTGTTTCATTGTAGCTTCACTTTGCAACCCATATATTGAATACTAACATATGTGGATCAATGGTCAATATACATGGCTAACAAACACTGTATATTTGCAATGCACAATATGCAAATGCATAGAATCAACGTGAATTCACACCCTAGGCTATATATTTTAATATACTACATTGTTTGCAATAATCCAATCACACCAGTATAAGCTGGATAAAACCATTATGCATTGTCTAACCCCCCCCCCCCTTAAATCACTCCACATCCCTTTATTAGCCTCATTGTATTAGATGTGCACAGGATAGCAACTGTCTTTGGACCATACCTCTGGGTTTAAGCTGGTATATGAAATACTACTGTCATGATATAAAAGTCCTGTAATAGTCTGTATACAGAGCTGGATGCCAGTAGAGACCACAGTTAGGGTTCTACCTTTGAGCCAGCAAAACCCAAAGCTGGTCAAACCTGAAGGCTCGAGACCTGAAACCTACCTGTAAGAAAGTTGGCATCTACTGTGCCTAGTCCCAGTACAAAGAAACACAACCCTAATTAAATAGTCCTATGATCACAGGAGACTCCAGCGACGCAATGGGTTAAACCTTTGTGCCAGCAGGACTGAAGACCGACAGGTCGGAGGTTCAAATATGGGCAGAGCACAGATGAGCTCCCTCTGTCAGCTACAGCTCCCCATGCGAGGATATGAGAGAAGTCTCCCACAAGGATGGTAAAACATCAAAACATCCAGCCGTCCCCTGGGCAATGTCCTTGCAAACAGCCAAATCTCTCACACCAGAAGCAACTTGCAGTTTCTCAAGTCACTTCTGACATGGAAAAAAAGGAACAAGAGCACAACCAGCATGCCTAGCAATAACTCCTGGATAGGCAACAAAATGCCAGGCTGTATGCATGAGTTATCCCATTAACGGTTCCTATTTGTTGGAAAGGGATGGATTTGGAGCAGCAGTATAAGTAGCCTCAGTTCAGTTTCAGCCATTCCCACAACAATATATTTATTTCTTGCTATCTTTGAAGCTGCATCTTCCTGCTAAGTGTCCTTGGGTATCCATCACTGGCTTCAGTATTATAGGTATACCCTCATATGTGCTGAGGATGAGGTTGTGAGAGGAAAATGAGATGGTTGCTCTAGGCTGATTAATTTGCTTTTTAGTCTGGTAAAATGTTTGGAAGTAAGGGCTTCATATCAGTTTCACTAAACATGAATATTTTGTTTGGTTGTGCCTTCATGTGTATGCATTGTGTTATGCTAAATAATAAACATTCATGTTTATAAAATTACATGAAGTGCCCTGGAGGACCAGAGGCTGATCAGAAGGACTGTCTTCGTGGCTTTCTAGGGCTTCATGCAGAGGGGCATGATCTGGTGCTTATAAAGCCAGGAGGAGGTTTTAATAGGCTACTCAACTGAGCAGCCACTTCATGCATCAGCAGCTGGTCAGGATGAATCCTTACACTACCCTCTGCAACCAGATGCTGTCTGAGGTCATGCATATGCACAGCCAAGCCAGAAGGCACCACAGCTGGAGTATCTGAATTGGGTCTGACACATACACCCCAGTGATATAGACTTAAGATTTATACACATCAAAATCATTCATCTTAACGAAATATAAATTTACATGTATAGTTTAAAAATGAGGGAATAGGCCTGCTGGATGAGCTAGGTCTTTAATTCTGTTTTAAATTCTGACAGTTCATTTAGCTGTTCTGGAAGGTCATGTCACATTCTAGGGAAGACAGATGAAAAGGTCCTTTCAGACATTAAGAGCATAGACTATAATGTTATTACTTATTATATTTATTTATACCTTGCTTTATCTCTCCTGCAGGAGACTAAAAGCAGCTGATAACAGGAGGGGGGGGGGGAAACAGATGAAGGCTCAAGAAAGTCCTTCCAGCTGAATCTCTGATACAGATTTCAATGCAGGTGTTGCTGGGCCAGCACCATAGAGGTCTCTCATGTAATTCCAGATGGTCCTTCACATTCTTGGGCAAGGTGCCAGGGTTCCCTCTCTGAAGACTAAGACAAAGGAGAGTCTTCAAATGTTGGCTGTTTAGAAGCTTTGGGTGCTGCTCACAGATTTGGGAGTGAGTCTTGTTCCCCTCCATGAGCTATTTCTATCTGGACCTTGTTGTTGTTTGTTGTTTATTTGTTCAGTCACTTCCAACTCTTTGTGACTTCATGGACCAGCCCATGCCAGAGCTCCCTGTCGGCCGTGGCCACCCCCAGCTTCTTCAAGATCAAGCCAGTCACTTCAAGGATACTATCCATCCATCTTGCCCTTGATTGGCCCCTCTTTCTTTTTCCTTCCATTTTCCCCAGCATAATTGTCTTTTCTAAGCTTTCCTATCTTCTCATGATGTGGCCAAAGTACTTCATCTTTGCCTCTTTGCCTTCATCTTTGCCTTCATCTTTGCCTCCAGTGAGCAGTTGAGCTATATTTCCTGAAGTATGGACTGTTGGATCTTCTCGCAGTCCAAGGCACTCTCAGAAATTTCCTCCAACACCACAGTTCAAAAGCATCTATCTTCCTTCGCTCAGCCTTCCCTATGGTACAGCTCTCATATTCATTGGTTACTATGGGGAATACCCTTGCTTTTACTGTGTGGATCTTCTTTGCCAGTGTGATGTCTCTACTCTTCACTATTTTATCGTGATTGGTCTTTGCTCTCCTCTCAAGAAGTAAGTGTCTCCTGATTTCCTGGCTGCTGTCTGCAGTAATCTTTGTACCTAGAAATACAAAGTCTGTCACCCCCTCCTTGCTCTGGACCTTATCCCATCCTAATTTCATTCCTGTTGACAGTTTCGCTTAAGGCCTCTTGACATAATGCAAAAAACTCAAGTAGAGTACAGTGAAGCTATGGAACAGTTAAATGTGGGCTTTGAAGCATATAAGTGTGATTATATATTATAAGAGATGGGTATGATAGATCACAAACCCAGTTATTAAACTCCTAACCAATATTCCACAAGTATCACTCATGAAATCATTTTGATCCTGTCAATTTTATGGCTACCACTATTCTGCCATGTACA